ATAATAATAATAATAATAATAATAATAATAATAATAATAATAATAATAATAATAATAATAGTAATAATAATAATAATCATAATCATAATAATCATCAAAATAATCCAATACCAAATGATTCAAATGTTTCTCAACAATACTTGAAAGCTCATCGTCAAGAATTGGAACGTAAAGTTGCTCATCTGAGCATGTTACTCAACAAAACTACCGCGATATTAATTGATTTGGATCAAGCTATTAACGACAATTAAATTATTCTCTAGTAATATTATTATTTACAATTGAAAATTATTACCGCTATTTTGTATTTTAATATATTTTTACTATATTTATTATATTTTTTTTATATACGTTCATTTTTTATTTATTTCTTATACATTTACATAAATTTTTTTTTACAAATCATCTTGATGGTTAGGAATAAGAAATACGCATTATGATATGTATTTATTAATTTATTTCTATATATATATTATTATTCATTATTCATTATTCATTATTCATTATATTATTTGGAAATTATTATATAATAAACTAATATCTTTTTATTAATAAATGTTACGTGGTCGCAAGTACAATTGATAATTGAAAAGTTTATACATATTTAAAAATATTCGAAAAAAAAAATTATAAAACCAGTCACTCGTCAAATTTATCTTATAATTTTCTCATCAAAGAAGGTTTGTGACTTCTTAAACTTTCTGCAACAACGGTAAAATGAGTAGCTAAAGCTACTTCATTAATAGCTTTAGTGAATTGGCATTTCAAGGCTTTCGATGAAGAATTAGCTGGAAGATACTTTTGTGCGATAGTAACCATTCTTTCTAATGATGGACTGGAAGAATCACTGCTAAATAAAACTGTATAAAGATATAATGGTGATCTAGCATAATAAAAAAAAACCCAATTATTATTATGTATAGCACATATATTAACCATTATTGTCATTACATACCCTCTTTGTTGATTATTTTTACAAATAGTTTCTAATCGGGAATCTGGAGCTCCGCACTGACCATCAGACAAAAATATAACAACATTTGTTCTGAAATATTTAAATCAAATCAGTTAAATCTTTTCTATAACAGAGTGATTTTAATTAATCAAACAGATATAATTGATATGAATTTAAATTACTTTGCTGGATCATAATGTTTATCGATCAAAAATCCTGCTTTCTGTATTGCCAAATCAAAGTTAGTCCCACCTCTTGCAGGATACGACATCATTCTGTCTAAAAGTGCATCCGGATTATTCAATGGCAGATTTTCAATTACTTCAGCTTCGTGATCGAATAAAATTAAAGAAATAGTGTCTTTATTAACAACACCATGAGCTTGATTTTGTTGAGATTTAATACGTGTATCCATAAACGAATAAACCTTTAATGATGAGTTAAAAAAAAGGATAGTTTAAAATTTTTTTTGTTAATAAATACAAAATTAAATAATATTAAATAATTAATTACTGCAGAGTATACTGCGCCTATCCTATTATTGTGTTTTTGTGCAATTTTTTGACGGATGTCTGAACGAATGTTTTCTAAAGGTCTGCTATCAGAATAACCCATTGAACCTGATCGATCAAGTGCAAATATAACATGGAATTCTGCTTCTTTTTTATTTGGATTATCACAGCTGAACTGATGACCATCCAGTGAAATGTAACCAATACCAGTTGATGCACTGGATGATGGATTTAAAGGTTTATGGAAAAGTTCCAATTCACAATAAGATTTTGGAGGAGGACAATTAGGACTTTGTTGCTTTTTATGATCTTCATCTGGACATTCATGATCACATTTTGCAAATAATGCTTGGTCTTGTTGTGAATATGGATCTTTAAAGCCAGTTCTTTCCCAAAATAATTTATGAGTTACAAAATCCTTTTTTTGATCAGGATTGGGACTGATTGGTACTAATCATTTTATCAATAATTTATTATTTTGTATTAACTATATTAAATAACATTAAGTATTTTCAACAAAACAAATAAAATATTAAATACCATCTAAATGTATTATTCCTTGTCCTTGATGTCCATTTTTGCATGCATCCACACTTTGACAATAATCAATATGTCTATGACGACCTAATTCTTTACAATGAAAATTACAAAGAACAAAAGAACCTTGATCTCCGATTTTTAATTTATGATTATTATATTCAAATTCATCATCCTCTGAAGTGAATACAGTCTGTACCATATTCCCATGAGTAGTTTCGTGCAAAGTTTGTGTGTGTCCATAGGCTAGTTTGCAATAATATTTGCAGAATTCACATTTTTTATCACAATAGTGAAATTTACTTTCAGCACTTGAATCATGTGAATGTATTCCTTCATGGCTGAAGGAGTTTGGTGGTATTCTTTTCTTGCATTTAAGTCTTTCACTTTGTTGAATATATTTGGTAAAAGTAATTGAAGTTTCTGTAACCAGCCCTTGATAAGTTGCTTCCTCTTTCCTTGGTTCTGTTAAAATTTTACAAATGCCTGGTTCTTCACAATCCTCAATACATTGATGATCATTACCACAAAAATGATCAACTGCAAGTTGAGTATATGCATGAAAATGATCATTACTTTGGCATCTTCTCTGGCAATCTGAGATTGGACATTCAATTGGACATGTCTCATTTTCACAGTGATGTTGCTCATGTTCATCCTCACATGGTATAATACATTTGTTTGGACATTCATAATCTCCTTTTTTAGTTGACGTAAAGAGTGAGCATGGCTCTCCACAATTATGACGATTTGATTGACACATATGTTCATCATCTTCAAGTCCATCATCATGTCCAATATCTTTAGAACATTTTTTTTGACAATTACGTTTATCAATAAGTTTACAAGGTTTTCCACATAAATGACTGGTTTTATTACATGCATGTTTCCCATCATGTCCTGCTTTATAACTACAAGTTGGAATAAAAGAACTATGTGCCTCTACAAATTGACATGAGAAATGGCATTCATGATTAGTCTTGCAGTCATGATTGTCAGTATGACCATGATTTTTAAGGCAGCGTAATCCACAATCCTGACAAGAAAGTCCACATAATGTCCAAAAATGTGTAAGCTTATCAATCTCTTTTTCAAGAGCATATTTTCCAATAACTACCTCACTATT